TTTTTTTTTTTTTTTTTTTTTTTTTTTATACCCTAATGAAGCCTATTATTATGAAGGACAATCCCCAGACCCCTCCAATCTCGAGAAACCCACTACCCACCCTCCTCCAATCTCGAGAAACCCACTACCCACCCTCCTCTCTCATCCTCTCATCAGGCCTCAATTACTGTATCTGCTTTTCAAATCCATACCCCCCCCACCCCTTCACTATTTTGCTGGCTGGCTTTAACAAATTGGCCCATTATTCGCCAAGCCAAACAGTGACTAAAAAAAAGCCCTTTTTCAAACTGAAAAAAGCCCTTTTTCAAAGTAAAACCGTGACAGCCCCCTACCGTTAGCTTTCCCTTAAGTGTGTGTATTATGACGATCTGCCCAGCGCGATGCTGTCGGTGAGGTCGTACCACACCAGGGCCGTGGTCCCACTAGCGAAGGGGATAGGAGAGAAATCCTGAATCTGGCGATGTTTTATGCAGAGATACAGAAAAGCAGTTCTATCTCGATTTCCTGCTCCTGTCCTCAAACACGTCCAGATTCCGGCATTCAATCCGATGCTCTTTGCTAGTGGGACCACGGCCCAGGCGCCATACCCGTAAGCTCCGACGTTGAGCATGACATGATTGACATCGCCACGTGGCAGCACGAAAATGACTTAAGCTCCGACGTTGACCATGACGTGATTGACATCGCCACGTGGCAGCACGAAAATGACTTTTAAAATTTTGATGGCGGATGTCCTCCTGAACCACGTGGCCCCTCGGCCTTCTTTCTACTTGCAAAAAAAGGAAAAGAAAACTGTCAAAAGTGGAGTCAGAGTTTGGCTTTCCGCGTTGTTAGCAGACGGACTACTCCCTTCTTCCCCTACTCCCTTCTTCCCCCGAATATAACGGACGGTCATTATAAGCTGAATTTAGACTGAAAGATCCACCCAATTCAGCTATAATGACCGTACGTTGTATTCGGGGGAAGAAGGTAGTAGGCGTCTCTTGGGCATGCCGCATCACACTGGCAGGCGCTCTTCAGAGGTCTTTAGGGGGGGGGAAAAAAAAAAAAAAAAGAAAAAAAAAGAGGTCTTTAGGGCCTCGCTCCACCGCGCAAAGCGGAATGTTTTTTTGAATCGGCCCAAGGGGGACCTGGCCTGCGGTTTGAAGGAGGTGGTCCCCACCAAGGCGATCAAAATGGGAAGGCACTACAGGAGGATGCTCATATCACCTCCTGGGGCCAGTAGCACGAGCAAAGAAGACTGGGATTAAACCCCTGAATCTGGACTTGTTTCTGGAAAGGTGCAGAATATCTTTGCTTTTCTGCATCTGTAATTGACGCAAACGTCCAGATTCAGGCGTAAAACCCAATCCTCGTGGCTAGTGGGACCTCGCCCCTGTAGTGGGCCACCACTGCCAGATGATTCCTTTTAGGGAAAAAAAAAAAAAAAAAAAAAAAAAAAAAGACGTACACACGGGCACGGCGTCTCCATGGTATGAAAAGCTGTCTCGTTTTTTGTTTTCCTTTCTTTTTTTTTGAAGAAACAGACTTTATTGTACAAGCCGGGGGCCAAGTCCCACTAGCAGCGTTGAGCTACACCTCAACGCCTGAATCTGGCCGTGTTTGTGGAGACCTGCAGTTCAGGAAACTCAACACCATCTCTGCACATCTCCGCAAAAGCGTCCAGATTCAGGCGTGCTGAGGTGTAGCAGCTAGCTCAACGCTGCTAGTCGGACTTGGCCCCGCCCCGGGCAACGGCCACGGCGTCCATTGAGAAATGTTACTGCGTCCCCCTCCCATCTTCAGCCGAATAAAACGCCCGGCGGTAATTATAGCCGTATCTGGGCTGAAAGTTCTGCCAATACAGCTATATAATGACCAGGCGTTCTATTCGGGCATCATCCTCAGATGAGATCTCAGCCGTTCATTCGTGGTTTTGCCCCCAACAAAGCAAATCGATTACAAGCCGTCCATTCGAGAGGCGGGACTACATTCTTCCCCCGAATACAACGCACGGTCATTATAGCTGTATGTAGCTATAATGACCGTACGTTGTATTCGGGGGAAGAAGGTAGAGAGAAGCAGCTCGATCAGATCTCAGCTTTCTTTTTTTTTTTTTTTTTTTTTGAAAAAAGAGAATTATACCTTTCTCGGGCCAGATCTCAGCTTTCGATTTGGTCAGCGGTGCACGACACTGGGTCTCGCTCCACTACTCTCGACTCACGCAAAATTTCGTGAGTACTTCTAGAGCTGTCAGAGGTCTAGAACTCATGAAAAAAGTGGCGTCGCTCCACTTACTCTAGACTGAAGAACTCTAGAAGCACTCTAGAAGCACTCACGAAATTCTGGCACCGTTTCTAGAGTAGGTGGAGCGACACCGATCACTCTCGAAAGGCAAAAAAAAATAAAAACAAATGACTGCATATGGCCACGTTCTAGCGTTGGATACATTCCGGAGCCGAGCGTGAGTACTCACGATTTTCGTGAGCGCTTCTACAGCGCTACACGACAGCGCCAGCTCGCTCTGACGGTCGCGGAAAGAGGCACACTCACGAAAAAAGAGGCCGGAGCGGCGGCAGGAGGGAGGACGCTGGAAATCGTGAGCATCGCAGGCTGTGAACTCTATACTACTCTAGAGTGCCCTTCGAGAGCGCCTTCTGACTGCTCTCGGAGGGTGTTTTCACGAGTTAAACTCTAGAGTAAGTGGAGCGAGGCGTTACTCTCGAAACTTCGAGAGTCTAGAGTAGTGGAGCGAGACCCACTATCTGACCTCTTCTGGAGCTGGCGACATCAAAAAAAAAAAAAAAAAAAAAAAAAAGAAGGTCAATGATTAGAAAGAACTTGGGAGAGGGGGGTCCGGTTCCCGGCCTTTACAATAAGGGCCAGATCCCACTGGGACAGAGGATTGGAATAAGTGTCTGAATCTGGACGTGTTCCACTCAGAGATGCAGAAATGCAGATCACTCACAATCTTTTGCAACTCTCCACAAACACGTCCAGATTCAGACACTTATTCCAATCTTCTTTGCCGGCGGGATCTCGCCCTTAGTTCGTTTCAAAAGACGAACAATAATAAAGGGCCGTCTGCAGCCATCACAGACCTGAACCATCTGCACCGACATTCCTTTTCTTTTTTTTTTCTTTTTTTTTTAATGACAAGATTAATTCATGGCCTCGCTCCCCTGCTCTCGACATGCAAAAAAGACCAAAAAAAAAAAGAAAAAAAAAATCATGGCCGAAGATTCACTCTCCTTTTCCACGTTTCGAGAGTTACTGTAGTGGAGCGACGGTCTGCGAGGCCCTTACTCTGCCCGGCGGATTGCACTCCATCCAATCAATATGCGCTCATGTGGGGTTCTCTCTCTCTCTCTCTCTCTCTCTCTCTCTCTCTCTCTCTCTCTCTCTCTCTGTGTCTGTCTAATCTACACCAAGCAGGAGACACAAAGCTGCCTTTTTTTTTTCTATATTTTTTTTTGGGTCTTAGAGGCGAAGACCCACGCGGTACGCGATGTGGTAAATGTTATTTTTCATCAAGAAAAGAGTGATATAAAATGAAGGGGACCTTTTTGTGAAAAAAAAAAAAAAAAAAATAAACAAAAAAGACTTTTTTTTTTTCTTTTTTTTTTTTGTTGTTGTTGTTGCACCAAGCCCATGAGGTTGAGTGGTACACACATGAAGGGCCTCGCCACAACACTGTCGAAGGGGAAAATGTCCGAGTGCATCTTCCCGCAGAGAATGGCAAGATGCATCCGTTACTACGAACAGCAACGGAAGCATCTTACCAGTTTTTGTGGAACATTCATTCTTTCTTTTTTCCGTTTCGACAGTGGTGTGGCATTATGGGCTTTTTTTTTTTTTTTTTTTTAAGCATTATGAGTTCGAATCCTGACAGAATCAGATCGGACGGCAACGATGATGTTACGGGGGCTAGAAGTGTTGACAAGGACAATCACCGCTAGCCCCCAAGGGACCATGCTCCCCACCAATAGAGGAGGCCAACCAACTTCAAATTGAAAAAAAAAAAAAAGAAAGAACAGAATTCACCATTTCATAATTTTCTGAGATAAATTGCTAGTTCATCATCTCTCAAAACGGTTCGACGATATGAATGTTTCTTTTTCTGGTAAAAAAAAAAAAAAACCAGTTTGTTTTTACCTCTCTTGGTGAAGTGACGATACCTCTGTCAGCGTCTGTCAGCGGACAGTAGAAGATAGCTATGCTTGCAGGGGTCCCCTGCAAGGGCCTGCATAGCCCTAGGAGTAGAGGTAGGTAAATCGTTAAAGATTAAATAATTTGAGCGGAAATTATAGTATAGACCTAGACTACCAGAGTGGCCCGGGGCCACTTGCCCGGCCGGGCCACTTCAGTTTTCTGCATAACATAGTTTTTTTTCGGGTTTTTTTTTTTTTTTTTTTT